TATCCGTAGGCTACTGCTATGTCTCTGTTTCAAAGTTTGTAAACCTTAATTACATCCTCAAAGTCCCTTTTGCCATGTGAAGTAAGAGATTCACAGCTTCCAGGGACTAGGGAATGGACGTATTATGGAAGCTGCTCTGCACTACTGCGGAGAGCAAGGCTTGGGTGGGGGAGCTCTGGGAAGATAGAGATAGAGATGGAGAGTCCTCTAGGACAACTGTGATTGCGAAGGATCCCTTGAAATTCCACCTCTGATTCTCCTCCAGGAGCACTTCCCAAACCTACTTCTGGTCTCAGCCAGGCTCCATGACTACCTGTGATGAGTATCTAGGGTCTCTAGGGCCTCTGGGGCCTGAGGGCCACCACCGATAAAGAGGATGAAGAGGGTGTTTCTGTGCCTTGGAATGGACAAATCCCAATGGAAACCAGGAAGAGAACCAAGCTCTGTACTCAGTCTGTGACAGCTTAATTTGGTTTTGCTAATTTCCATATGAGTATTGGCCACATGTTATTTATTCTCTTTCTGCATGAGGCTTGAGCTATAAAATGAGAGAGTTGTGTATAATTTCTTTTTTTTAGATTTTATTTATTATTTATTCATTTATTTATTTATCTATTTCATGTACCTGTTGGCCATTTGCATGTCTTCTTTGAAGAAATATTTGTTCAAGTCCTATGCCCATTTGTAGTTGGGTTGTTTGTCTTTTTGTTGTTCAGAGTTCTTTGTATGGTGAAAATCGGTTGCCAAAATGGAGTCAGGAGGTTTTGGCCAGGAAAGCTGTCATGCTCTACCACTTGTAGTCAATGGCGGACCCAACAGGAAGAGGTGGAGTTGAACTTACATGGACTTGACCTTGCTCCTGGGTACTACTCCTCTATTCCGGCCAGGGGGAGAGATGATATGCTTATCCCCCGGGGAAACAGCTCGGTCAATGAGAAGCCACCACACCCATTTTTAAAAATTTAAATTCAATTAGCCAACATATAATACATCATTAGTTTCTGATATAATATTCAGTGATTCATCAGTTGCATATAACACCCAGTGCTCATCACCACACGTGTCCTCCTTAATGCCCATCACCCAGTTACCCCATCCCCCACCCACCTCCCTTCCGTAACCCTCAGTCTGGTTCCCGGAGTCTTCTGATACCCTCTTAACTCCATTGGACTTTTAGTTTATTGCAACCTTCCCAACTTACCCCCTTTCTCCTTAAAAATCGTACCTCCCTTTTGTCCCCTGGACTTGACCATGATTTTGGCGCAGCATGTTTGTTCTGGTCTGGGATTCTCTCCTATTTTCCAAAAAACCCATCTTTTGCTGGTGAAATAACTGGCAAGGCTTATTTTTAAGGTCACCAGCATACTGTAAGTCTTCCCTCTGCACAGACGGGTCATCTCCACAGATGACTCTTTGCCGGTCCCAGCTCAGCTCCAACTGCACTGCTTCAGCCCCTGGTCATCCCTATGCAGCCTTGTTCCCCCATGGAACCCCCACTTCTCTCTTTGTCTGGCCATGACCACATGTTTTACAAACATTTTGTCCAGAGCTTCTCTGCGTTTGGAGCTGAAGGGGACTCCAAACATGGGCCTGGTCTGCCATCTTGACTATGAAGTTTGACACCATAGTCACTTGTCTTTTTAAAATTTATATTGGTAAGGACAATTAACATGAGATCAATCCTCTTACCAAATTCCTAAGTGTATAATCCAGTATTGTTACCTGTAGGCACAATGTTGTACAGCAGATACCTAGGACTTGCTCATCTTGTAGAGCCGAAGGTCTGTACCCGTGGAATATCGCCTCCCCACGTCCCCTCCCCCCAGCCCCTGGCAGCCACAATGCTGCTCTCGCTTCTACATGTTTGACATTTTAGATTCCTGAAGGAAGTGGATTCATGCAGTATTCGTCCCTCTGTGACTGGCTTAGTTCACTTAATACAATATCCTCAACGTCCATCCATGTTGTTACAAATGTAAGATTTCCTCCTTCTTAAGTATATTTCCTGAATAATATTCCATAGTATGTGGATGCCACATGTGATTTATCCATCCATCTATTGAGGGGAACCTAGATTGTTTCCACATCTTGGCCATGGGAATAATGCTGCAATGAACAACAGAGTGCTAATTTTCCTTCAGGATCCCAATTCAGTCCTTTTGGATCAATACCCAAGAGTGGGATTGCGGGATCATATGACAGTCCTATTTTTAATACTTCGTAGAACCTCTATACTGTTTTCCAGCAACTGTACCAATTTGCCTTCCCACCAACAGTGTACACAGGTTCCAATTTTTCTGTTTCCTCTTCAATACTTTTTGTCTTTGTGTGTGTGTGTGTTTCGAGAATAGTCATCCTAATAGATGTGCAGTGATATCTCATTGTTGTTTTGATTTGCGTTTCCCTGATGATGAGTGATGGTGAGTGCATAATCAGTCCTTAAGGATACCCCGTGAGGATGGGTACAAGGTTTCTATTTTTTAATATACAGCTTATAGTTCCCTACTGCTATACATTTTCATATTTCTGTGCCTTTCTCTTTTTCAAATAAGTAATTGTGAGATCCGTTATTGAACATCTGTCTTCTGATAATCCGAGCCCTGCTGGCACTGTGACTACATCTTCTCATTCACAGATGAATGTCCAGGGCCTGGAAAAACATCTAAGGGTTCAAATGGACATTTGCTGGGTGACTGGCTGAAGGGAAGAAATCCCCATATATGGAAATCTTGAGAAGGGAAGTGGTATTCCTTTGGGCACACCCAGGTTGTATGTGGCCAACGGGGCTGACTCAGGATTGGAAACTCTGTCCCCACCCTCTTCAGGAGGGAGGTCACGCCTAGTAGATAGAAGCTTGGGCTCACCACAGATCAGGTCTCACTTGTCCGCAGGGGTGAAGGCGTCCTCTGGAGCTCCCTCCTCTGAGCCCGCCAATGGGAAAGCCCCCTGCTGCCTGCATCCTTTGGGTCCGTCAGGTGTGCCAGTTTCTGTGGTTTTGTCCATCTGTGCAGCCTTGTCCAGTGGGAGGCAGCGCCATGACCATCACTTTTATAGTCCTTCTCTGCTTCGGTGAGTTTTTGGAAGGTTGGGGATAAACTCCTGTGTGGGAGAGGGGAGCCCTCTCAAAGCCAGGCTGTGATCTCTCAGGAGGTCTCATGAACTTGGGATGCTCAGGAAAGGTGGGGATCTGCTCAGGAGTCAGTGACCTCTCACTGGGATCTCTCTCCCAGGACTGTGTCTGGGCCAGATGACCCATGTACAGGCAGGTGAGCCCATCCCCAGGGGTCCCAGGTCCCACTTCCTCCTTGGGCACAATATAGGACTCCCCTCCCTGCCAGGGCATCCGGAGGATGGAGGAGAGGAATGTTAAATTGATCAATAAAGAAGGTATACAAGGTGCCCCAGGGCTGAGAGCTAGTGGAAATTGAGGCATAGAGAATATAGGGACTGCAACTCTGACTCTCTTCCAGAGACACTGCTCACACTGATCATCTGGGCAGAGCCAGGCCCTGCAGTGGCCCAGGGGAATCCTGTGAGCATCTGGTGTCAGGGGTCTCAGAAAGCTGACCAGTACTTCCTGTACCAGGAAGGGGTCTCGGAGCCCTTGAGAAGGGAGTTTCCCCTGGGACCCAGCAGCAAGGCCAAGTTCCCATTCCCACACATGACCTACCACCTTGCTGGGCGCTACTCCTGCTTGTATCACAGACAAACAAGCTGGTCAGTTCCTAGCAAGCCTCTGGACTTGGCAGTCACAGGTGAGCAGGCACTTCCATCTACACAGGTGAGGTGACTGTGCCCGGGGAGGGACCTCCCTTTCTACAGCAGAGTCCCATTGGCAATCTGGGGGTGGTGTTCCTCTCTCTTCCCCTGCCCCCCTTTTTTATTATGGTAAGAACTTAGAACATGAGATCTACCTTCTTCACAAATTTTTGAGTGCCCAATACAGTACTGTTATAGGCACAGTGTTGCACAGCTGATCTCCAGAACTGAACTGAACTTGCAAAACTGAAACTCTATACCCATGATCTCCCTCTTCCCCTCCCTGCAGCCCCTGGCAGCCGCCATTCTACTCTCTGCTTCTACATATCTGACCCTCTTTAGATTCTTCATAGAAGTGGAATCATGCAGTATTTGTCCCTCTGTGCCTACCTTATTTCACTTAGCACATTGTCCTCAGGTGCCTCCTCCCCTTTTAACACAACTGGCTTGTTCTTTCCCAGGAATGTTCAACAGACCCAGCCTCTCAGCCCTGCCCAGCCCCATTGTGACCTCAGGAGGGAGCGTGACCCTCCAGTGTGGTTCATGGCAGGATTTTGACTGGTTTGTTCTGTGTAGCAAAGGAGGAGAGGGCCACCCCAGACACCTGGACTCATGGCGCCAAGCTGATGGGTGGTTCCAGGCGCTCTTCATTGTGGACCACATGAGCCCAAGTCACAGGCAGACATACAGGTGCTATGGTTATTTCTCCAGCTCTCCCTATGTGTGGTCCACCAGCCACATTTTGGAGCTCCTGATCTCAGGTGAGGAATTCAGGGCATGATCCTAGAACTCCTTGGGTCTCCATACCTGTGAGAGGAGCTTCATCTCAGGTGGAATACGGGGTAGGATGAAGTTGGGGCAAGAGAGCTCAGGACTCTGGGAGCCAGCAGTGGGAGGCCTGTGGGAGGAGGAAACCCTCTTGGAAACCAGAACCACCTTTTCTCCCAGGTGTCTAGGAAACC